TAATAAACTTTGTGTATGCCTGCTTGGCATTCTTCTGTCCTCTAAAAAGAGAAGGGAAAACAAAAAGTATGAGACTAGTTCTTCAGTAAACAATTAGTTGGGCTCTACTCAATGAGTTTCATTTAATGTCTAGCTAATTATCATTTTAATTGTCTGATTGCATTCTATTCAGTCAATATTTCATAGTCATATATTTCATTTTTAAATCTGGTTTTCTTTTATCTTTTCCAATGCCCAAATATGAACCCACAAACCTAAAAGACATCACTATTTCTCCAATATAGTATTTACCTAGTTCAAGTCCTGGACCTTGAGAATATAACAAAAGCTATGAATACTCTACCCAGAAAACCACATCTTAGTTAAAACACAAAACGCAGTACACAACACCAAGATAAACACCCCAGCTCTATTACTAGGACAGATACCTGCCTGATACTCCCTGTCCTGTTTCCCTGCCAATTCCAACAGGCAGGAGCTGCCACTTTTTGTAAGTGCTCAGTCTAGGGGAAGGCCACGGCTGACAGAAGCCGGGCCAGTAGGAATCCTTCCATGGGATTTTTATAACTGAATCTGAGACAGAAAATCCCTTTTGGAGGGCAGAAAGTACAAAATATGAAATTCAGGAAGCAATAGTTCCCTGCCCGGGGGGAGGAAACCTGTCAGCTATGAGCAAGAATGAAGACAAAAAGGTCAGAAAAGTCCCACAGCACTCTCAAGCACCAAGATCCAAATGTTCTGGAAGCCCAGCCCTATTCGTGTTCTTCTTCTGGTTTGCTTACCAATTCTAACTCCCTCAGTGATAGACCTCCAAAACTCTCCAAATAGTTAAAATTTTGGCCGAAGCTCATTTGTGTTTCCAGGGCTTACAACCAAAAGATGTTAATATTAATAATGGCTGGTTCTAAATTCTATATTTTTTAAACAAGTTTTATATCCTTTAATTGTTTTCTATACAGATAATGTCTTCCTCTAGATATTTAAATAGGTCTTTAAATATAATTTCTAAAAGGCTCACATTTCACTCTGCATAAAAATCTTTTAGAATATATGTTTAAAGCAAGTCTTGGCTCAGATCATTCTACATGCTCTACACACTATTAACCGTATTTGCCGGCGTATAAGACGATTTTTTGGCCCTGAAAAATATGCCTCCAAGTGGGGGGTCGTCTTATACGCCAGGTACACTTCAGATAGACTGCCCATAGTGCTTGCCCCGTGCCATAGTGGCCTCCCGATGCCCGCCCACTTCATTCCACATACCGTTCAGGCATCAGCAGCGCTGCTGGGTGTATGCTCGGCTGTTATGCGATTCGGCTGTTATGCGATTTTACCACACTCGCAAAATCGCACACAGCCGACCATACACCCAGTATGATAGCGCAAAATCGCGAATCGCGATTTATGTATATGTTTGATTACATACAGACTTGTGACAGTTTTCCTGCATGTCATAAGCATTTGAATATAAATATAAATGTTGAAATCAAATCTGATATTGTTTTACCTTTTATTTGGTGTGTGGAAGGTGTGCGGAAGAGGGGGTAGTCTTATACGGCGAGTATATAACAAACTCTGTATTTTGAGTGGAAATGTTAGGGGGTCGTCTTATACGCCGAGTCGTCTTATACGCCGGCAAATACGGAAAATATAATTTTAAGAAGCTAACTGCCTGATCATTTTTAGTTTAATTTCAAATGTAACAAGACAAAAATTGCCTTTTTAAGTTGTCTCTTCCTTTATGTATTCAATTATATTCTCTGCTTAAAATACTTAAAAATTGGCAGTGATCCATTCACTGATGGGTATTTTAAGTTAGAAAGCAGTAACATATCAAATTAACCACACAAAGTCAGGATTATTCTTACTGAGAATTACCACCACAATGGACTTGAAAATTCCTACCTTAATTGCAAGTTTTTATACTTCAGTCAAACAGACTTTGACTCAATGGACTGCAATGCAGTCCAACTACAATCAGTCCAACAAACTCTTAGTTCACACATCTCTCACAGTCACCTCGGATTTCCTTCCCTCGTCATGGCCTTGAAAATTCCCCGAATGCTGCTGCATTAGCAAGGTTGTAACAGCAAAGCAACCTGTGTTACATACTATTACTATTCCTAGTCAGGGCATCCTAATAATGCTATGATTCTAGTAGACTCTAAAAACAGTTGAATCTTGAAGTTAGAAAAAACTTGGAAATCATCCAGTCCAATCACCTTAGTTCACAGATGCAAACACTGATGCACCATTAGTTAACAGGCCCAAGGTCAACAGAATTAGAGAAATAATTAGTATTTTACCATAGTATGCAGAAGATTCCCAATACCCATAGAAGGTCCTACATGCTAAAACAAATAAGCAGTTCCCGTTTAGTGCTCCAAAAGTATGGCTATTTCTAAATGATCTTAAGACAAATTCAAATGAATTTTAAAAGCATTAAATTGCTATATTCGTGACAAATCTTTTCCCAATAATTCTGATCACCTTAGAAATGTAGGAAAAGATTCTTGATTTGAATAATCTGTTCCTTCTCTGCTATGCTTTCTCAGATGTCCCCATTCATATACAACATTATGCTTGCTCCTTCTTAATAATGCTGGCCTATGTATTCTCATATTATACTTTAGTACACACAAGGACATATAAAAGCATTTATCTAATATTAGACTTTATTGCCTAAACTGAAATCAACCAGAAACCCATAGCATCTAAGGGCTTAGATTTCATCTTTATATACACTTCCTTTCTTTTTTTCCCAAAAACTAATAACTAAAACAGACATTTTGAAAAAGAAGGCTGTGAAACAGACTTTTCTCAGAGCCCTCAAACATATTTGGACAAAAATATGAGGGGTGTTGTTAGCAATATTTGCACAGTGGCTGGCACTTTTTTGTGGCCTAACATATTTGTTGAATGAATAACACGGTTACATTACATACTGTGGAAACTCGACTTCTCTGGATGACTATACTTAGAATTGCTAACTTTTCTTGAAAGCAAAAGAAAATAACACAAAATGCACTATCTTCAAATTAAACATTACTTATATAAGCCTTAAGTGGTTTCCAACTATTTCCAATTGGCAAAAAATTCTAAAACAAATGTAGCAATTCATAAATATAAAGTAGCAACATAAGTGGTTACAGTAAAACATGCACAATTACAAGATTCTTCTAAAGTAAACTGAAATTCAGACTAATTCCCAGAGTGCACACTCTTTTTCAGCAGTATACTGTTGACACTAGTTTACTAGATTAAACCCTCAGACATAAACACTCTCCTGACCAAAACACCAGAACTCCAAAGGAGATAAAAAGCACCCATAGAAACAGAACAACATTAATTGAAAAAAAAGTAACTAACAACAGAAATGATTAAAAAAAAAAAGCTTAACAGAATTAGACATAACTCTGTAGACTTAGTACATTGGAAAATTTTCATTTTATATACTGTAATAAAACTTAGAAGAGTTTTGGTGCAGTAATGTGTGCTGTTGTGAAAGCTTACATTCCTAATTGCTAAATTAGCATTGTCAGGAAGTTAAAATGAACTTCAATGGATCGGGCATTAGATGATAGAAATAATTAGTACTCAATCTTCCTAAAAAATTGTCACTCCATGCAAACATAATCAATCCTGATAGTGTTTCACCTTTTCCCCAGCTCAGCTTGGGAAAGAAACATACAAGTATGATGCTTTTGAGCCATTTTAAACAACTTCATTAAATTCAGAACGCTCTTTTAAAACCCAGCACGGTTTTCTGTCCTTTCTATTATGCTGAAAAGGGCACAAAGGCATCCATCGGTATCAAAAGTACGGAAAGCAAGCTTACATGCTAACTGTCTGCAGTGGGTAAGGTCATGGTCAAAATTCACAGGCTCATTTAAACTTTCATGGCTCAGCCAACAGCTCCTATCACGTTTCCAGATCCTAGGGAGATTAAAACTGCAGAAGTTTCTTGCTGTAGGATCAGCAGGAGGCTATTTGAGACCCTCAAACTGCAGTCCGCAGAGCCCGCAGCGGCGCATCTTCCACCACCTCTGGCTGTGCGTTAAGCTAACCTTTCCAAGCCTTCTCTTCCGGCCTTTTGAAAGAAGCCCCAGAACCGATGCGGTCAACTCAGGACCTGCTTCCATCGCGCCCGCCGAGACCCCCTCCCGCGGTCCTCCCCAGGCCGCCCTTCCGCAGTCTGTGACTTCGGCCAGGCCCCCAAGGTGGGGGAGGAGGTGTGGGGAGGAAGCCTCCCCGCGGAGCAGCTCTACAGCCAGCACAGCGGCAGGGTGATGCGGGAGCGGAGCAGAGGAAGATGCTAAACCCCAGGCCCTATTTACATTGGCTCTTCTTTGTCAAAAAGATTCCTGTGTCCCACAATATCGTCTTTAATGGAAAAAAGGACCTAAGCACGAAAAGTCGCTGTCCAGATCTCCCCGATCTCCAGTCTTCTCATCCACGTTCCCCTGCGGGGAGGCTCCGGACGCTCCTAGCCTCGGGCAGGTACACCTGCCGGCGGGGGGAGGACCGGGCCGCCCCCGCCGTCCCCCGCCAAAGGGAGCGATCGCCAGGACTCTAACCTCAGCAGCCCCCGCCGAGGCTCACAGCCCCGGCAAGCGGTACCCGCACAAACTTCCCAGTTTCCGGGCTGCGGGGACAGACCGACCGGCAGACAAACGGGGTTGGGGGGTGGGGGCCGACACTGGTACCAGCTGCAGGGCTCAAATACAGATGGGACCCCTCGTCCCGCATCCGGATCTAGGTCCAAATGGGGTTCAAGTGGCGCCCGGGCGGCCCGTAGGCGCGGGCGTGCGCCCGGGGCTGGGGTGACCGGGGCGCCGCGGCGGGCGGGCAGCCCCGGAGGGCGAGCAGCCGGAGGGCCGGGGCCCCGTTCGGGTTCCCAATCCCGCAGGAGCTGCAGCAGGAGGAGGAGGAAGGGAGCGAGGAGGAAGGGGAGGAGGAGGAGGAGGAAAGGCACTGCGCGCCGCAGCCCGAGCCCTTACCGAGTGGTTTACCCCCCACATCAGGACGCTGAGCAGCGGATCGCTGGCCCGAAAGAGCTTCACTTTCTGCGCTACGAAGTGCTTCTTCTTGGTCTTGGTCTTGCTCGCCAGCACGGAGGACCCCAGGTTGCCGGGGGTCGCCATGGCCGCCGCCTCTGTCCCCTCCACCGCCGCGCTCCCGAGGCCGGGGACCCGCCCTCTCTACTCGCCCGCCGGGGGAGGCAGCCGCATCCCCCCGGCGGCGGCCCCGACGCGCCGTGCCCCGCTCCGCCCGCTGGCGCGCTCGGCCCCACTTCGCTCGCTCTGCCCGCTCCGTCCGGCTGGAGAGAGCGGCTGCGCTCGGCTCGCGCCAGGACCCGGACCCGGATCCTGCGCCCGCCGCCGCTCCGCGCTCAGCCCGCGGCTGGACCAGGCGCGCCGCGAGCGGCTTCCGTGTTGGGCGCTGGCGTCATGACGCAGGGGGCGGGCGGTCAGCAGCCGCGGCGCCGCCAGGCGGGGCGCGGTCGTGGGACCGTTAAGAAGCGACCTAGCGCTCAGGCTCCGGCTGCGGCTCCGGCTCCGGCTGCGGCTCCGGCTCCGGCTGCGGCTCCGGCTCCGGCTCCGGCTCCGGCTCCGGCTCCGGCTCCGGCTCCNCTGCGGCTCCGGCTCCGGCTCCGGCTCCGGCTCCGGCTCCGGCTCCGGCTCCGGCTCCGGCTCCGGCTCCGGCTGCGCCGCGGCGGGACCCTCTCGTGCACCGCCGAGCTCGGGGGGCCGCTCCGGCCCGCTGAGGAGGCCGCGGGGTGGGCGCGTGCGGCGCGGGGAGCGTGAGGACTCCCGCAAGGCATCCTCCTCTGCTCCCCAGGGAGGAAAGAGGGAAAGATGGGGAGCCTCCAGAGGCGGAGGCCAGGCGAAAGAAGGGGGCTCAGGGAACCGCCGCTGGCGGGTGCCAAGAGTCAGGAGAGCTGGTGAGACCCGAAATGCTGCAGGCCGACCAGGGCTTCCCTGGCACCGAGGAAAGGACCTGAGCACATCGTTGGCCACCTCCCAGAGTGGCCTTGAAATGAACTTCTTAATCCTGTTGTGCCTTTAACCGTCCGGCCTTTCGGACCCTAGAATTGGGCCTTCCCACCATCTCCGAGTGTGGAAGGGGCTGTCATTCCCACCACCAGCCCCTTCCCAGGCAGGACCCTGGAGTCCTTGGTTTGACCAGGAGGATCAGGCTCTACACTGCACCTTGTACTTCAGACCCGCCACAGTGTTCCTTATATGCCTTCCTTATTTCCATTCCTTCTTCCACGGAAATCTGTTCATTGTCTTCATCCATGTACATCCATCTAGCACTTCTTAATGCTGGCGATACCTGGCCCACTTCAGAAAGTTGTCATTCAAAGTATGTGATCCTGTTCTATGTACTTATCCTGATACAGCCCTCTGGATAAACATGTTATCTATTGCCATTATTACTCCACTCAAATGTAGTGGAGACCTACTGTGTGCGTGGCTTTGTTCTGTCAGGGAGACAAGGGATGACAGAACCTTATTCCTTAAGGATCTTAGTCTCATGGGGGTGGGGAGTGATGGGTCATGTGGTCACCTTCCTTTGCTCTTCTTTTTTCTTTGTTCTTAAAACATAAGGGCTGCCCCAAAGTCCTCATGTTCTTTCCCTCTTCATACTAATGTCCAAAATGATATCCTCCCCCAACATCAACCATCACCACTCTTAAGGGGTTAAAAAATAAACCCATAAATTTGTAGTGACAACATGGGGTTCCACAGCTCTCCCACTAATTTGAGCAAAGCAGTTAACCTGTCTGAACCTCAGGGGTTTATTTGTGTTAATAGTAGGGATAGTCAGACACAACTGTCATTTTAGGGACTACTTTGGGCCTGGTCATTGTAATCCTGCTGTAACTGTAGGTTGTTAGTTAGAATCAAAATCAACAGTAGACAATGGCTCTGAAAAGCCCTTTGTAAATCATAAAGCACTATATACATACAAGATAAAATGTAGAGTACTTGCAAATAACTCATACACTCTCCCCTGACCTCAGAGAAGTACCTGGATGAACATCTCTACATCAATTATTCACAAGCACCTTTTAAAAGTGTCTAAAATCAAGTTCAACATCCTCCTCCATCCCATATGTTGCTTCATTTTTCTATTATATTGGAAATGGCTTTCATATCACTCAGCTACCCCAGCTAGAAGTTCATTTGTTTAACAAATTTTCATTGACCCAGGCTTGAAAGCTTATAATCAGCATTGATTGTGCCTCTCATCACCACTCCACATGAACAGGTCCTGCCCTTGAAAACAATTGTCCTCAAATATTATCTCTTCGCTGTTGCTTTTCCCCCCGGTCCTCCTAGTTGAAATTAATCTGTTCACTTCAGTGTTTCCATAGCACTTTATTTGTTCCATAACAGCTCTATTGTACTTAATCATATATTAATAATGCAAGACAATGGGCTTGCTGTGAATGCTAAAAAAAACTGAACACAGCAATGACAAAGTGTTAAATGAACCCACAGGAAAAGGAGATGGATACTTAAGGGCACTCACTGTCAGATGAGGCTTCACATAGGAGGGCAGCAAACTATGGATGGGAGCACAAGGGGTCACCTCCACTAGGGACAGACAGAGGCATAGGCATGGACATGAAAATCAATGTGATATTTTCAGACCATAATGAGGAGACTTGTAATTTTTACAGATTTTTTTTTCAGTTTTATTGAAATGTAATTGACATAAAACATTGGGTAAGTTTAAGGTGTACAACCTGATTACTTGATACAGTTTATATTGTGAAATGATTACCACAATAAGGTAAGTTAACACCTCCATCACACATAATTACCGTGTGTGTGTGTTTGTGTGTGTGTGTGTGTGTGTGTGTGTGTGTGTGAGAGAGAGAGAGAGAGAGAGAGAGAGAG